ATAAATCAATGGAATTTTGGAAATCTAGTTACGTTTGATTTGTCAGGGTTTGTGAATGACTTGTTGCCTGGGAGATATCATTAAAGCCATAAATCGTAAACTATATATATAAACAAAAGCGAAGCTCTCAAATCACTTTACAAGTAACTCTCGGTTAATTGCATGAAGTTACAGAAGAAATATAACAAAGAAGTACTGAAAATATCGTTACCTAATCTTACTTCAGTTAATTAAGGTTTTTGAAAGTTTCGAAAATCATGTGAACAACACTGTACTGAAAGAAAAGCCAAGTAGCGAAGACCGACAGAATATCTTCATAAAATATGAAAACCATACATTAAACGCTTCATTTGCACATCAATCATCAATTGTCTCTTACAAACTTCATCGTCACTTCATTCCTGTTGTTATTACAATCGCTCTCTGTTTAAATTCCTGTTCCCTTCTATTTGATCTTCCCAACCCTCTGCTGCTAGACATTACACTCTAGATTGGTGTTACATACCACTTATGATCGTCGACATAGGTGAAATTTACCACACTCCCCCCTCTTTAAACTGGCTCTCTTGCGGTTTTTCTACTCGTCATGCCAGTCCCTTCTTTGCAGCAGTCTGTGCCACGCTCCTCGTCAAAATGTCGAGCCCTTCCGCACGATGACCACCGTAGTGATGTTGACTTGTCGGGCCATGTAAATCTAACGTCCACCTAGCACCAATGACGCCAGACGTCTACTCTCCATTGACAGCGACTGCTAGAGCCAGTTCCACCCCTTCAGAACACTCCACCTAACGTCACTTTTCTGCACTAGACCACCCAACAAGAGTCTCCTCTCCCGACTTAGCAACGGCGTCCTCAGAGCTTCAATCTCTTTGCCTCTCCTTTGACCTTGACACCAAATGTAGTGAACAAACACTCAGGTAGTAATACCAGTTTATTGTTTTATGCACAACCACACTATGGTTTATTAAAATGTGAAAATCCTACATCAAGTACTTCATTTACACATCTTTTTTGAATTGTCTCATAGAAGCTGTTGTGGAGATCCAGAAAATTTCAGCAAAAATACATGAGAAGGAAAATACAAAAATATGAAGGAAATTAGTAGCATGACGATGAAGAACAAACTATTTTTGTAGATGCAGAAACTTGGCCTTACATCACGGTTATGTTGAAAGATCCAGAAAACTCTTCGAAAAAAAGCCAACAAATACTCTGAAAACGCTGAGAAGCATCTTATTCAATCAGCGTTCACTAGAAGTTTTGCCAGATACACTGTAGAATTATGGTCTACTATGATATTAGTACTGCTCTAATAATAGACCTAATCCTAAAACTGTAGATTTGTCATGATGTAACTGCCTAATCTATAAGATTTTACCTGGAAATCACATCATTTTCTACACGGACTCATCGTACCGTAACAATTATAAATGTACGATGGAGAACACATTCAGGCTGGAGATGGAACAATATATTTAATATGAGTAAAAGCAAGTTGTACAGATCGACCACGTCTGCAAGGCCGAGCTAACCAATTCGAATTAACCCTATTCATTCTTCCCGCCTTCTCCATCGTTGGGCTTTTCTCCGTGTTAAATATTGAACATCTATATTCCCAGTTGTCTCGTGTTCAGCTTTGAGGATTATGTGGTTAGGGCTCAATGCCACTACATCATCTAGAAAAGTGAAAAATCACATATCAAATTTCTGATTGGGTGATTACTCATAGTGCTATTATGTTTAGTAGCAGTCCAGAATTTTCGGGAAACCCAAAGACATCTAAAACACTATAAAACCCTAGATTTTCTGTACATAAACGAACCATTGGAATAAAATGTTTCTTCCACATTTCTCGCATTTTCTCTCATGTTCAATTTGCCTTGTAAAATCTAGTCTGGGGAGTTACTAGAAGAGCTTAAGTACTGAATCTAGCATTCAGTTCGAAGACTTATCACAAACTTTATTATATAATTCATTAAATACAAGCTTAAATCTCTGCTTTTAAGTAATTTTATTTATGTTGTATTAATTCAATTATTTAAATTGAACCATTTAGATTAATTTTCTAATCTACTATTTACAGACAAACTTTCAAGGTTCATTTGATATTGTTTTACTTGAATCTTCCCATTGATGTCTTAGGACTGAAATTGATCAATCTCTTATTGGCATATGTGCATATGAATTAAACTTCACCCCATTGCACAAGCAAGTGGCTATCAGGACTCAGTAGCTAAGTGGATAACGCGATAGCGTTTGAAGCGAACGGTACTGAGTTCGAGTCCCAGAGTGGACATCAACTCTGAGATGCAGTTACATCCAGCTGACGAGTCCCAGACAGGACGAAACGCGCGTCCTGGATTCCACTGCTAGCCACTATCCATCTTTGCTTATAAAGTTTCAAGGGTTCAATTCGATCAATCAATTCATTTCATTTAATAATGAATTATTTTATTGTATACAAGAAAGAATCAGACTACATTGATTCATTAATTCATAATTGAATTACCTATTTAGTTGGTAAATTCATTTAGATATTTTTTGTGTTTGTAAAAGTTATTCATTTACACTAGATAATGAATGATCAACAGATTTTAATTTTAATTTAACTAATTCGGTTATATTTATAAACAAAAGTTGATGTAAATGAACAAATGCTTCAAATGAAACAGGTGAAAAGTAAATATAAAACAATCACTCAGTAACTTTCTAAATACACTTATTTTTTCTTTAATTTATCAATTTTATATCGTATAAATGATTGTATCATATTGTATTACGTTTATTAATATTCTTATGGGTAGAAACATTGGGTCGGAAAGAAAAAAATATATATTGAACAATACAGTTACGAATGGTATGATGTGTATATAAGTAGTTCTAAAATAGTAGCGCAATGATTGAAAAATCATACTCTTCAAATAGTGAAACAAATCAATAAAATAGATCATAGGATCTACCTGATAAAGGCTTGTAAAGTATTTTATGGAAATTTACGAGATCAAATTCGAAAAGTTGTGGAAATCTTAATCAGTAGAAAATTCAAGCATTTCCTTTGGGAATAAAAACAATTTGTACTAAACTTAAACCTAACCTATGTATTTCCAATCTATTTTAATTCATGAGATGATTTTTCCTATATTATTTCATATTTTTTATATCTTCAGTTAACACTTTTTATTTGTAACTTTTATTCTTAATTGATGTTTATTAGTGTTTCTTTTTATACACAAATATTATGACACGTTTGTGCATGATTCAGTCAGTCAATCAGTTACAACGTAGGACCAGGCACATATATGCATCGGTCCAAGTTGCCATACCTCATTAACACAACAAGATGGACACCGGATTCATAAAAGTAGTTAATTCAGAGGTGGTAATATATAAAAGAAAGATTGCATATAAGGATATAGTACAGGAAGAAAGAATTAGTTCATAAAAAGACTGATATGAAGTGATCTTGATCTCTTAGTTTGAGGGAAGACAGAGAGTGTATACACCGACGCTATTGTGATCGATTCTCAGCCATATCACCAAGAATCTCCAACCATTGGTTACGATAGTCACGCGGACCACAACCAAGTAGTCTGCATCTATCAACATGGCTCAGACTAGAAGTTAGTGACTTCAAGCACTGATGCCACGTTTCGATTTGGCCACCCCTAACTTTCTTACAACCATATCCAACACCAGTTAGCATTGCACGTCGTGGTAATCGGTGTTCAGCCATACATAACACGTGCTCCCAACCATCTCAGTCGATGAAGATTCACAGCCTCATCAAATGATTTACCATCATTCCCTAATACCCTGCGTCTAACCTCACTATTACTTACCAGGTGATCCCAGCAGATGCCAGCAATATTTCTAAGGCATCTGTGGTCAAATACTAGTAGCTTACAAGTGTCTTCTACTCTTAATGGCCATGTTTCGCTGCCGTGAATTAGAACAGAACGGACTGCCGCACAGTATACTCGTCCTTTTATTGATAGACGGATATCTCTCCTTCGCCATAGGTGACGTAAGTTGGCAAAAGCCAAACGAGCTTGTCGAATCCGTGCTGAGATTTCGTCAGACACCAACCCATTAGGGCTGATCAGACTTCCAAAATAAGTGAAGTTGTCAGCGATTGCATGATTGGATTGTTTTGAATGTCAAACTGCGTCTTCATATTACTTTATATGTATACTAATTAGGCTATTTACTTAAGCACAGTGCTTTATTTTGTCATTAAGTTTGTTACAATTTTTTTCCCTTAAACTCTTTATTGCATTTATTACACCATTGAGTTTTATTCCAACTATCTTATTTTATTTTATCAACTGAACTCTACTCATTTTATTCCTATCAAAGTTTATTTGTTTCTAACCGTTTGAACTGTTGTCACAATGTTCTTTCATCACATAAGGTATATATTTACAATATTCAGTCTATTAAATTTATTTACACCCTTGCTATACTATATGAATATGTCTTTAATATAACTTCCAATCAAACTCTTTTATGTAAGTAATTTAAACCCATTAATTATGATTTTAAATATCACAGGTTGTAAGCAGCTGACGAGAACCAACGAAATAAAAATGAATTCATGCTATTCTGCTAGAATGTTTGTTCTTGCTCTTTTCAAAATGATAAAGGGAACTATGTGTATGAAATTTCTCAAAAAACGCCTCCCTGAACAATTATTTAGGTCACTGAACCACTTTGTGACAGTACGCTGCAGAATATCAAGAGAAGTGACAAGAGTCCAGTTTTATGGAGAATGTCTCACGTCAGGCTGTTTCCCGCGCCTGTTTGTAAGATCTTTGCGTTCTTGTAAACTTCCACCGTCGTTCAAAAACTTAAGACGCATCACTAAATCTCACATTGAATCAACGAAATTACTCATTACGCGACTAAAGGATGAAGCCAGTGCTTTTGGTAAAGCGATTAATGATTTAAACATCGTATGTCGGATAAAATTTATGAATTTTATTCGTAATCTTCAAATCAAGGTTTGCAAGGATTTCCATAAATCTCTGTCGAAAACTCTGATAAGAGAACATTTATGTTTAGGGTTTCCGGAAAACCCTTCGAAGTTTATCTACAACTTATCAAATATGAAACTTAATAATATAGAAGCAGAAGCCTTATCACTGGGACTAAAATTTCATATACCAAAAACAAATACTGACAGGATCGATACAGAAGCTCAATTCGAAAGTCTGTTTGACCAGTTAAAGGATTTGCAGCCAATGAATGAGGAAAAGAAAGGATGGTTCAAATCAAAGTTAGTTGATATTGCAAACCAATACCTCGTGTCATCGACACCAAAGTCTAATCTTTTATCCAGAGAACATCTGACAGCCCTAAGAAACATCAAACAAAATAATGAGGTGATGATTTTACGACCGGATAAAGGTTCAGGTGTCGTCCTAATGAATACAGCTGATTATGTCACTAAGATGAAGCAAATCCTTGACGATCAACTGAGATTCAAGGTAGATAAATCCCAAAAAGATTTAACTGATTCAACAGAAAAACGAATCAAAGGCATGCTTAGAGAACTTCTAAAAAGGAAAATGATTGGTAATTCTACTTATAATGATCTAAAACCACGTGGGTCACGTCTGCCTCATATGTATGGTTTACCAAAAGTTCACAAGCACGACGTTCCCCTTAGACCTATCCTATCAATGATAAACTCACCGTATCACAAAGTTGCACGCTGGCTAGCAGAAAAACTAGAACCGGTTCGTCGAAGATTAGCAACATATACGTTGAAAGATTCATTCCAGTTTGCTGATAGACTAAATCGTACGAATGTTGCCGATAAGTTCATGGTTTCTTTTGATGTAACATCCTTGTTCACCAATATACCACTTCTTGAAACTATTGATATAATTTGTCAGAATTATGATCTCCTACCTTTACCAGCCCCGGAATTCAAAAAACTACTATTAATGTGCACAACAGACGTTCAATTCCAGTTTAATAACACCATATATCGTCAGATCGACGGCGTAGCAATGGGAAGCCCACTAGGTCCAATTCTGGCAGATATTTTTATGGGGTATCTTGAAAACATGGTGCTTAAACAGACGATCAGCGAAACGACGGAATATTCCAGATATGTTGATGACACGTTTATTGTCTGTAACAATAAACAGCATGCAATCCACATGCTAAAACACTTCAATAACGCTCATCCTAACATACAATTTACTATGGAACACGAACAGAATGACATGTTCCACTTTCTTGATGTTGCTATAAAACGTAGGAGAGACGGGACAGTTCAACGTTCGATTTATCGAAAAAGTACTTGGAATGGCATTTACCTGAATTTCAATAGCTTTTGTCCACTCAGTTACAAGAAGGCATTAGTTAAAACACTATTTTATAGGGCAGAAAAGATATGTACCACTGACAAACTCGAAGAAGAATTGATGAAAGTGGAAAAATGCCTGCGAGACAACTTTTACCCACAAAAGTTTATTGACAAGTATAAGAAGCGTAAACAAAACAATACTGAAGTAATTACTGTCAATAAAAAACCAATAACTATAAGTCTTAATTTCAAAGGTGACGAGGTTACAAACACAATCAACAGGAGACTGAATACTGCGCTAGCCAGAACTTATCCGGCGGCCAAACTTCAAATTCTGTATAAAACAACATGCTCAATAACTCAATCAAAAGTTGATAAGCATCCTTTTCATGTTACCGCCAATTGTATTTATAAATTTACGTGTACCTGCCAAAGCAGCTACATTGGCCGAACAGAAAGGAGGGCATATCTCAGATTTTTTGAACATGTCCCAAAAAGCCTCAGAACAAGAGAAAGAAAGACTCTAAATAGTGCAATCACTAAACATCTTCTTGATACAGGACATCAGGTCGATACCCTACAATCATTCAAGGTGATTAGTAAGCAGCCAAACTCCAGTCTTCTGAAGTTTGCTGAAGCAGTTGCTATCAGGCGCCAAAAGCCTGATTTATGTGTTCAAAAGGAGATGGTTATTAATCTTTCCTTGCCTTGGTGATTAATATTCCCTCGTTATATCTTATTTATTTTTTTTAAATTTTTTTTCCCTTAAACTCTTTATTGCATTTATTACACCATTGAGTTTTATTCCAACTATCTTATTTTATTTTATCAACTGAACTCTACTCATTTTATTCCTATCAAGGTTTATTTGTTTCTAACCGTTTGAACTGTTGTCACAATGTTCTTTCATCACATAAGGTATATATTTACAATATTCAGTCTATTAAATTTATTTACACCCTTGCTATACTATATGAATATGTCTTTAATATAACTTCCAATCAAACTCTTTTATGTAAGTAATTTAAACCCATTAATTATGATTTTAAATATCACAGGTTGTAAGCAGCTGACGAGAACCAACGAAATAAAAATGAATTCATGCTATTCTGCTAGAATGTTTGTTCTTGCTCTTTTCAAAATTATAGTATCGTTAATTTATAACATTTAGAAACTTTAATTTAGTTCTTTGTGAATTGAGTATATAATTTCCTTAAATTAAACAAGTATATCCTTGTGTAAAAAGTTAATATGCATTAAATGTCCACTGTTCTTTAACAATAAAATGTATAAATGTATGACAAATAATGATAGTAATATTGTGTATTTCATGAAAATTTCATAAAGAGTAAATTGTCATTATTATAGACAATTTTGCTTAATCGAAAGTTAATCAGTGAATTAAAACAAGATTTCATGAATTTGATGGTATTATTTTTCAACTTTTGAAATATCACTTTGCTCCTCAAATTACGTCAGATTTCCTAATAAACTTTTATTTTCAGATTGAATTTCATGTTAAAGTACAAAGTAAAAATTGTAGTTTTTCCCTATTTTATTAATTTTATTTTATACATGAAATTCAATTTCAAAAATCTTAAAACTCCGATTACAAATGAAAAAAAAATAATGAAGGATGATTTCAGAATATTAGCTCCTTGATACCCGTTTTAAATAAACACAAACTGCAATTAAACCTGACTTGATTTCGTAATCGTGGCAATCTGCTTAGCAACCAATAAGAATGAAGCGGGAATTATAATATCCACCATCTTTGTGAACAGTGACTGTCGGTTTTCCTCGTTCTATTATCTTTTGTTTGTTTCTTTTACGTAACTGCATAATTTAATGTTTCAGAGTGCTGAAATTCCATGGTTAATATAATACTCTAAGTGTTGTCGCAAATTTTCATTCAATCAGCTTTGTTTTCTTGGTTTTTCCTGCGGCTAATCAAGTCAATGTATTTCTTCAGGCAAGCTCGTTTGTTTTATGTTATAAAATGTTATTCCATTTTGTTTTGAGTATTATATTGTAGATGGTGAGAATCAAAGTTATTTTTTAGCTGAAATAAATGTTGCTGCTGCCTGGGACTCTACCTGTCTTTATGTTCGTTCCTAACTGTCATTTGTCATGTTATCGGGGCAATGAAAAAAAACGATTTCCGGTTTGTTATTTTCTTCAGTGTAATGGACAACCCTATCCATCAACGAGTTAAACTAATACTGAGTGCCCAGCAGTAGGGATATCACCAATGTGTCCGAAAAGACCAAGGCACCCGACAATCATAGACGAAGTCAGAGATTGCAGAGGGTTTGTTATTAAAAGCATACCATATAGAAATAACAGATGAGTCGTACTCATTACGTCGTGCGTGAAACCAAGCCTAACACTGAAAAGCCGGAAATCCGCTACCAGTGTGTAGTGTATGTTTGCTGTTTTGGCCATAAAAGGAAGCCGGAGGGCCGTGATCACGGTAATTAATCGTTATTATGCTCACTTTTTTATCGATCAAAGTTATGTTTCTTTTACGGTATGATGTCAACGGGGAACTAATATCTTCACCCTTGCGATGAAAAGTACTTGCAACTTTCCACCTTCCTGTTCGAATTATTTTTGGATAACTGTCTTCCAGTTTGAGTGCTTCGTACGCCCCTTGGGAACTGGAGTTCGATAACATTCATAGTACCAGCATAACTTTCTCGCGCAGTAAGTCTACATGTTCTTTCAAATTGGACATTGATATTTTTAAATGCGCCTGTTAAGCTAATATCTGTATTCTCTGTTTCGGGTAATCGACGTAGACAAGTCGCGCCATGTTCATCTGCTGTATATTGCCATTTCACTCCAATTTTTAACTGTTATGTCTTACTTTTGAAAAATAAAATTGTTGTATACAGTAAATACAGACGTATTTGCTTTGATGAAGATAAGAAGAGTCATGGAATGTTTAGCAGGACTGTAGTAATATTCTCACTAAAAAGCTAAGCGAGTGCGTAGGTGTACGATACTATACAGGGTACCCTTGAGTTACTAGTGTTGGTAGAGGCATTACTTGCATAACAGGGCATTTCAGTAAGCAAATATGAGGTTGGACGCAGGGACGGTTAAGATATGTGTAACGCGTGCTCACCTATCAACTGCCGTGACACATAATGGTGGCTAGAATAGATTGTAAGAGAGTCCGAGTCTATATGTTTTCCAAGAAAATAACGATGTGTACTATATCACTTAAATGTATTACGTATGAACTAGGTGCTGAGAGGCTCGTGTTTCACAAGTTTCTTACAACGGTCAACTTGATAAAATAAAATAGCATCAGATTTACAAATCTATTCATTACCGATGGAATATCAAACAAAGGTTAACACCAGGTCACCATTCAAAACTCTCATTGGTAATGTTAAGTTGTAGTTTTTGTTACTTTTTTCAACGAAAGGGTAAAAAAAGTAATAATCCGGATGAAATATCATAGATTGGTACTATGGTTTTACCATACCGCTATGGTACGACAGAACTCCAGACTTAAAATAATACAAAGTCAAAGAATACTAAAAAACAACTAACATCCTCCGACATGCTTTAGTTTTTATGAAGGGAAACGCCAAAGTGCATCTATAAATTAGGATGTATCGATTGTGATATCTTTTATGCTGAAGAGTCGTCTCGTGCAATCTTGACTCTAGCCGAAGTACATCAATGGGTACACAAGGAAGCCACCTAATAATCCTGTAGAACTAGCAAGGCTCCAGATTAACTCGGCAATAGCAATCCATGACATTTTCAATAACCATCAAATCTATATTACAAATATCAGAATAATACAAGAAGGCTTTTCCAACTACAAAGAAAGGCTATTAGCTGAAATTTTCCATATATTAATTAATCCTACTGCTCTCAATAGAAATGAAGGCCTCACTGTCCATCTGACTTGGACCGTTTGTCCAAGCTACCATGAATGATTCTATTTATATTTCACACCTTACATACAAACTCAACTCTAACCTTTTGCAACATAAATGTCACATTTTCCCATCCTTTAATATGCACACACATACAGATACACAAACATGCTTCACATAAATTACCTTGACTAAAATGACATGATATTGACTTGATTAGATATGTTTTTGATTGATCACACTAAATATTATTGCTTCGTTTCGCTTTACTATTTAAACTTGGGTTAATTTAATCTGTTTATTTATTCTCTGAAGAGATGGCTTACAATGAGTCACGAAACATCAGAAAATTTAAAAATTTATTTTTCTACCCATCGGGATATTACAAATATGTTATTTTTATTAATATTCTGTTAATAGATCAAAACAATAACTTAAACATCTATTGGTACAGCGAATTCTTCCATCATTTCATAGTGATTTATCTTGTTACTTTATACTTTAAGATTTAACTTAATCAGTATGACTTTTGTAAGAGAATTATCTCAAATATATATACTCACTGTTCTAGCTATCTAGATCACTATATATGAAAAAATTTTCCATGTCGTTATTATGTATAGACGATTCATTTAACACGGAATGTCTAAACCATACATCATTTTTAATATCAGAAACAGGAAATTATAAGGATTCATTCTCGTTTGAAAAGAGACGTTTTTCTCATTTCACATACCCTTGACACTTTCTAAATGTTAACATATGTAGAAGGAAATCGACAAATCTTATTGAATCAAATTAATATTTAGTACACATGAGAATTGTAATTCAATCATTTTATCTAATATCAAACATACGTTTTTGTCGTAAATTTATATTATTAATTTTATTAAAATTGTGTTTAGAAGTTGTCTTGACTGGTGGTGATGATCTGATAAATATTCTGTTTGTGTAACATATCTATTCTGAAAATTTGATTTTACCCCATAGGAAGCAATCAATTATTAAATTATCATTGTTTAGTCAATTGTAAGTATTCATATTCTATAACTTTAACTGACTAAATTGGATATAGCAAACTTTGGCATAATACACCGAAATTTGTCATGACGATAATGTGTGAATTGTTTATATACTAGCGAAGGTTCAATTATGGGGAACTTCTGAAAACTACTAATGGATCAATAATATATATATATATATATATATATGTATATATATATTCCTGTCGTATAACTATTCAGTAACTAGATTATGTATATCTATATTCTTCTTTTTGACCTTCATTTTGACCTCTAGATTATTATTATACGATTTACTATTCTTAAGTTAGACTCAGTTTATTTATTACAGTCTCCCACGTTCACAGCCACATTTTGACTAGATCTTGTACAAATGTTATTTTCTATTTTATGATATAATGGGGTCTGGTTTGCCAGGTATGTTTGAAATAAATGATTCACATAGTGGAAGCTGATGTTGGTATTCTGAACTCAACATGCAGGGTTGGGCACGAAAAAGGCCCAATAAGGATACTAGGCTGCTCATACTGGTCAATACGTCATTAGTTTGGCACAGTGCTAAGATTGGCACAAGTCATAACATGAATATTGATAGTTAAGCTGATTGTCATTTCGAATGTTTACTTAGCTTTTCAAACCTCTGACAACTTTGTCTACCAACAAATATTTAAAGACTTTACTTCAAGTTTCAATTGTGAACATAAATTAAGTCCCTTTGTGTGGTTGAAACTTTCAAAATCTAAAGGATCCTCATATATGTATATATACCTGTAACGGTTTACAATTCAATTCAGTTGGATTGAAAAGTAGGATGTCAATATATATCGAAA